ATATATATAATGGACAGCTGAGTATATATGAGCAGAGGGACCTAAAGATAAGATACTAGCTTAGTAGATGAAGCCAGAATCTCCCTTCTGGGACCAAAACAATACCCATTGGGATGCTTGACTGAAGGTTCTTCATTATCAGTCAAAAGGAAATTAATTGCCAAGAGAATTGTTTATCTTCCTGAGAAGGAATGCTATAAAGAGAATTTCTTACTGAATGTTCTAATCATAGACAACTCAACAGCTCATTCTCAACTCACCACCTTCCACATGTTGGTTCCAGTTCAGATTTTAAATAATTTCATTGTTTTTCTTGAAACTCTGCTAATGACCACCATAAAAGCTGGCTGCTTAATTCCCTGGTGTGTGTGTGTGTGTGTGTGTGTTTCTCCTTCCATATGGAATACCCTGATAGGAGTGGTCTCAAGCAACCTAGCTAGCGTAGGTAAGTTAGAAGCTTGGGAGATAGTGTGATGAAAGAGGCAGGGTGACATTTTAGAGCTCTACCAGAATACCAGTGGTAGGCCATTATTTCCTTTTTGTGTGGAGAACAAGGACAACAGTTGTGACTCTGTTAACAGCTTTGTTTCGGAGACTGCAGTGCAAAGCACATCGATCTACTTTGCACATGAAGTGGGCATAATTATGGCAAAGGTAGACATTTCCTTAAGAAGCATAATGCTTCAAGAACAAATGGGGAATACTTGGTTTATATTGTTAATTGCCTCGGGGAGTATCATTGGAATGGAAAGGAGGATATTACAGCAATATGGTTAAAGAAAGAGTGTTCAAATACAGCAATGGGAGAGGGACAATCATGGGAGATAAGCATGCCCTTCTCCCTTTCCTTATTTGCTTGTATAGGGTGTCCTATCCTGTTACTCTTTATTACTGGGATGGAATACAGCCTACTCATCAAAAGTCTAGAAGTAGGGCTGGACAGATGCTTAGATTCCATCACCGGCTCAGATAACAATCTCTTTTTGGGGAGGGGAAATCCTTTACAGAATCCTTTCCTTCTTTCTGACAGTTAATCCAAACGGCTGTAGAATGAATTCAGAGAGCAATAACCCTTTGTGTCATGCATTCTGGCATCTGAGTTTTGGCATCCTTGACTTGGGACTGTAGTCAACCCACAACTTATACCTGACTCCTCAAAGCAGCTTTTTTCAGGGGTGTAAAACTGACAGCTCACAGGCCAGATGCATCCCACACAAGCCACACCTTTTCTAGCTCCGTGAAGGGAAAAACATGTTCTGACCTAGGCTTCCTTAAAAAGCATGAAGCAGAGTCCTGGTCCCGGCAAAACCTCTTTTATTTACACAACTGTGAATTCATTTCATTCACAATCAGCAAGGCTTGGTAAACAGTCTTTCAGAGGAATATTTATCAACACGAACCTTATCTCACTTGGAGAGCTGCCAGATAATTAGTTTCCAAATGCAGGGCAAGGCCACATTTGGCACAGAGTCTCTTATAGTCACAAAAATAACTTTCCACTCTTGAAACAACCAAAGGAACAAATTGTTTCTTGCAAAAGCCCATTCCCCATTCACTCCTCTTTTGTTTCCTATAGGAGGAGCCAATCACCTCCAAGGTATGGCTTTACTCCCAAGTCAACCTGCTTTCTTAGTTGTTCTTGTCTTCTGGCAGCTCTGCACATGCGCACATTGGGAACAAGCTCCAGATGTTCTTCTGACTCACTGCTGTCTAGCTCCCTCTGCCTCTGACACAGAGCCCTCATCTGAGCTTTCCTCAGTCCCTAGGACTGGCCCATGTTCCTCCCCAACCTCCTCATTGTCTGGGTCCGTTGGCTGCCAATAGGCCACAACAAAACGTTGTGATATATCACATGACAGCAATGTGATGCAACAAGTTTGACACCCATGATCTAAGGAGTTCTGCTGAAGATTCTATGCAGCTGGGGGGCATCTGGGATTCCATTTAAGGATGCCCATCAACCTACATACCATATTTTTCAGAGTATAAAATGCACCTTTTTTCCTCCAAAAAGAGGCTGAAAATCTGGATACGTCTTATTCACCGAATATAGCATTTTTTTGCCTCCCGAAGCCCTGCCCCCTTCACCAAAATGGCTGTACAAACCCTTATGGAGGCTTTCAGAGACCTCCTGGGGGCCGGGGAGGGCAGAAATGAGCAAAACAGGTTATTTTTTTGCCCTCCAGCCCCCAGCAGCACTCTATAAGCCTCCATAAGGCTATACATGCATTTTTTTTGGACAAAAAACGGGCCCGTTTTTGCAAAAAACTGGCTGTTTTTTGCTCATTCTTGTCCCCCACCCCAAGGAGCATTCTGCAAGCCCCCCAAGGCCATTCATGCCTTTTTGGGGGAAAAATGGGCCCCTTTTCGTGAAAAATGGGTCATTTTGGGGAGGTTTGCAGAGTGCAAAAACTTTTCTTTTTCCTTTTGGAAAGCTCTTTAACTGATAGATGAGAATTACATTGATCAAGTGCTGTGCCAGCAGAAACATCTACCTATCTACTGTATTTCTCTCTCTCTCTATTTCTCTCTCTCTATTCCTCTACCTACCTACACACACTCTCTCTCTCCCTATCTACCTTCCTACTGTATTTCTCTATTTCTCTCTACCTACCTACCTACCTACCTACCTAACTACTCTCTCTCTCTACCTACCTTACTGTATTTCTCTCTCTCCCTCTCCCTCCCCCTCTCCCTACCTACCTACACACACTCTCTCTCCCTACCTACTTATTGTATTTCTCTCTATATATATTTCTCTCTCTCTCTACCTACCTACCTAACTACTCTCTCTCTCTACCTACCTTACTGTATTTCTCTCTCTCCCTCTCCCTCCCCCTCTCCCTACCTACCTACACACACTCTCTCTCCCTACCTACTTATTATATTTCTCTCTATATATATTTCTCTCTCTCTCTACCTACCTACCTAACTACTCTCTCTCTCTACCTACCTTACTGTATTTCTCTCTCTCCCTCTCCCTCCCCCTCTCCCTACCTACCTACACACACTCTCTCTCCCTACCTACTTACTGTATTTCTCTCTATATATATTTCTCTCTCTCTCTACCTACCTACCTAACTACTCTCTCTCTCTACCT